GCGGTCTCACTCTAACACGCCCCGTTCCGAACTTGAAGCTTCAACGGTCAGATTCATCTCTCAAAACGGCTCACAGGAACCGACTACAGAGAGAAGCATTTACCTTTCGGTCAACAACTGCCAGGCACACCTACGTCGATCTTTGGAGTCAAGGGCCACATTTCGACATCATCATCGTCACGGAGCCGTGATAGCTTACCTTCCGCTTGGTACTACACGCCAAGGATCATTGTCGAGCTACCGGCTTTACGGGTCACCCCCTGGCCCGCCCCTTCTCACAACAATCACCTACAGACGACCCAGCAGAGGGCGGCACGACATCGATATCCCCCCCCTGTCAACGGTGCTAGACAGACTACACCCCCCTCCCTGCTGTTGAGCCGCGAACTGGTCCAGGAACACCCCCCTCTCGCTGCGGAGACCTTTACCCGTGGCGGCAGTGCTTCTACCTCCTTGTCAACTGAAAGGTGGCGACTTGACGTCGTGGTCTGCATATTCATATCCCCGTCTCTTCTCACTCAAGCACACCGTACCCAATCGGTGGTCGACTTCTGCGCGGGTACCCTCGTCCCGTTCCCTCTCTGCCTTGAACCCTTGCTCTCCGCCCGTGAGCAGCAACAGGCATCGACTTCATCATTGGCTGCCGAACAAACAGCTCCTTGACAGACGCCCTCATAGCTCCTAGCTACCTCCCCTGCAAGAGGTGACCAGGGTTGTCACCCCCTCTGGCCCGCACTCGGCACCCTAACTCTGCTTTAAGGGCACACAGCCATCCGTCCATCCACCTTGGGACCTCTCGGCAGCCCGATCTTCCAGAAGGACGAGCCGACTGCCTGTCCTTCCCCTCCAGGGCATCCTCCTCCTTCCTGCAAGGCAGTATTTGGGCCAACACACACTGCCATTTGCGCATCTACCGTAAATAGCACAATTTCTGTGGTGCCCTGTCATACCGCCATCACCACCCACACACCTCCCCCGCCTTGGGAAATAGGTCTCGAGCAAAGACCCGGGTCACTCCTTTGAAAAAGGTTTCATCTTCGCCCATCAAACCGCCCCGGAGTAGCCTTTCCCATCTTTCTGCTGTCTGTTCAGCTGTGAGCTCGACCACACTTCGGTCGACTTTCGCAAACGACTATTTTCTCAAAAAGTCGTCGCCGTTGCGACAAAGGATACTATCCAATGGGAGATGTTCCCCCGACGCCTGGGTCTGAAGACTTCCTCGGCCAGGAGTCCCAGCAACCTTCGTTTGTGGTATGTGCACCCTTTCTATTTGCCCACCCGCTCTCCCCTTGCCTTGAGGTGGCCAACACCCAGGGCTACTCACCATTTAGTCTTGTCATTGACAGATTTGGCAGAACCAACATGCTTTCGCTTCACAGTTGGACATGACGACCCCGCCTTCGCATGGAAATGGTCGTCAAAACCCCTACAACATGGCTGCCATGGCGAACAACCTTCCCCAGGTTGGTCATGGCGGTTACCGGCCTCAAGGTGGCTACCCCTCCTTCACGCAACAGCAACGATTCAACCCTCACGGTTCTCCGCCGCCAACAATGCAGCACTCGGCCGGTCCCTACGCGTCGCAGCAGCACAATATGGCCACGGCGAACCACCACTATTACATGCCCCAGCACCAAGGACAGCAGTACTACGGCGCTCCTCTCTCGCCCACCCAGCAGCAGGTGCGATCAGGCATGGGATACTATGGCAACCAGATGATGATGGGGGCTCAGCAACCGAACCACCACATGCCCCCGGGCTACTACTACCAGCCTCCTGCGCCTGGGCCAGGATATCACCAAGGGATGCCTCAGCCGATGATGACCAGCCAGTACTATGGCCACAACATGATGATGGGGGATACCAAGGGTCTGCCACTTTCGCCCACGGTAGACGAAGTGGGGAGTCAGTACACGCAAGCCTCGCAGGGTAAGCAGTCCGTCGGAGGGAGTAGCAGAGAAGAGGTCCATCGTTACTCACACAGACTGCCAGACGCATCCGACGGAAACTCGAGAATAGTACGAGGGCCACCTCGGAAGCCCCGGCAAAGCGGTACGCCCAACTTGTCCCCTTTGCCTGCCAAGTTTTGCTGACAACGGAATTCGAATAGGACACGCGATCTGGATCGGAAACCTGCCACCCCAAACCGACCTCATGAGCCTTGTCCACCACGCATGCAAGGAAGCACCAGGAATGGAATCCCTTTTCCTCATCTCCAAAAGCAACTGCGCGTTCGCCAACTTCAAAGACGAAGCGACCTGTATTGCAGCCCAACAGGGGCTACACGACTCCAAGTTCCAGTCGGTGCGCCTGGTCAGCCGCTTGCGCAAAAGCACAGTCGAAGGCGCAACTGGCGTTACAGCCCCTACTGGACCCGCCGCGACAGTCGAGACACCTGCACCACAGGAAACGCCAGTCGAGATCGAGACACCTGCCACGAACAAGGAAGAGGTCACTGAAGCGACGCCCGTCGATGCGCAAGCTACGTTGGACAGCGAAACCACGGCGCCAAAGGACAAGTTCTTCATCTTGAAGAGTCTCACTGTGGAGGACCTCGAACTGAGCGTACGAACGGGAATTTGGGCCACGCAGTCCCACAATGAGGAAGTTCTCAACAACGCTTTCCAGGTTTGTGCTTTCGGCAGGCCCAAGCTTTCGACGTCAACGCTGACCCCATCTCAGGCTGTTGACAACGTCTACCTCGTGTTTTCCGCCAACAAGTCCGGAGAGTACTACGGTTACGCAAGGATGGTTTCATCGATCAATGAAGACCCCGAGGCTGCGATACAATTTGCCCCCAAGGTTCAGACAGCCAACGACATGGACCTGCCCAAGGCCATACCGACGGAAGCCACGGAATTTGCGCCCAAGGGCCGCATCATTGACGATTCGGCAAGAGGCACCATCTTCTGGGAGGCGGAGAGGGAAAACGCCGAGAGTGATGAGGAAGAAAGCGACACCAGCAGCGGAATTCCCATCGATGGAGACTTGGCCGCTACGAAAGCCTGGGGCAAGCCTTTCAAGCTGGAATGGCTGTCGACGACAAGGCTGCCCTTCTACCGAACCCGTGGACTTCGGAACCCGTGGAACTCGAACCGAGAAGTCAAAATCGCCAGAGATGGAACGGAACTCGAGCCGTCTGTTGGACGGAGACTGATTGGGCTTTTCAACAGGGTTCAGAGCCCTGTTCCGGGAGCCATTCCTATGGCTATGCGGCCAGCGATGATGATGCCAGGCTATCCCGCCATGCGTCCCTACCATGGATAATCTTCAGGTTGCCATTCGAGGACCGCCTCGAGCACGGCATCACGACATGAGAGCTGCGACGACACGATATTGGCTTGGACACGGAAATGCATTCGGAGGCCGGTTGGAGCTGTGCTGGACACGGCGAATGTACAGAGGCGGTTACCAACAGGTGGCATGGCAGCATGCCGGGATGTTCAATACCTAATCCGACCCTTCACAAATCTACGCTCATACACTCACATTCGTCAACCGTGCCGCCGAGATTCTGGGACAGGTCCGAGGTGACCTTCCAGCGAGAGCAGCCCCTGAGCTCGACGAGACTCCAGCAGGAGAGGCCAGATGTCCTCCTCGTCCCCCTCCCTCTGTGCATTCCTCGGCTCGGAGACTGCCGACAGGCTGCCTCCCATCATCCTTGCATCTAGCTGCCTGGACCACGGTCGACCCGCGATGATTGAGGGATGAGGTCTGCACGTGTGGCACATGGAGGGTGGCGAATGCAGATTGTGGCTCGAGAGGGGGGGTTTTCTGGTGGGTGACCTCGGGCGAGCTAAGATAAAAACCCCAGCTCCCCGAAAGTTGCCACCGGGCTACCACTAAGCGATCCTGGATGAGGCTCTGATCGGCACTCTAATGCCACGACACGCGCGTCCCAGGCCGGGTTGGTGACAGCAGAAGAAACGGCCGTCCCACGGACACATGCAACCGCGAGGTTGAAGCGCCGGACATGCATGCCGGGCTCGGTGATTGCCGAGAGACCACGGGGCTTTCAGCAGGTGGCGATCCCGCCTCGCCGTGTCCATCTTAAGGAGCAAGGCAGAAAAGAGAAGGGCATGGCCCCCTGTCAGTGTCATCCGATAGGTACATGAACGGACGAGTCGCGGGGTCTTTCTTGGTGTTCATCTGGGAGGAACCCTGCGTGGTCGGACGACTGATTTACCCACCACTGAAGACGGAGCGGTCTTGGCTTCACTCGTCTGACATGGTTGACGGGGGTAATGTGTTCGGCAACGCCGTTGGGGTAGTTTGGTCTGTTCCTCCCGCGGAGGTGCTGGGGTTCCGTCTGATGGTGAAGCAGACGGCATCAAGGGCTCGGAACGCCGGAGGGAGGCGACTTTGAACGGCTTGTACCGGTCCCGGTTCAGGGTCCTCGTCCCTCAGCTTAAGTTGCCACCGGGCTGATGTAACATGGCATTGGTAAGAATGGCATTGCCCTCTGATCGGCGAAAATGACTAGGAAATAGCTAGGCAATAGGCAAGGTCCCATTGGGGGAGCGGGGAAAGGGATGAATTTGCAATGGGTCGCCTGACAGAGGTGAGGCTTTCCAAAGTTCGTGGTGGTGTTGCGTAGGTGGGGAGGTTTTTGCGCATGGATCTTCGTTGGAGACGTCATCCCGTTGACAAAGGGGCACACACCGTGGCACAGTGAATGTGTACGGTGCGAGGGTCATCGGAGATTTTCCCGGGAGCCGTGGGTGCTTGGCTTGATTGGCTGCAACAGACTTGGGCCATTTTCGACACCACGAGACAATGTAAGAGTCTGCCGAAGAACCAGCATGAAGGAGAAGAAGTATTGATTGAGGTTGAGAGGCAGAAGTCATGCAGGAAGCTTATCAGAAGTTCCAATCAAATAGGGACCGTTGTATACCCCCTTGGGCAGTGTAAAGTCACCATGCACGAGGCACCCCTTGTCGCACTCAACATTCGCCATCTCACATTATAAATCCAGAGAGACCAGGGACTCCCTCACCCCCGCTCCGTTGGCGCAATGGTAGCGCGTGTGTTTTCTATACCGTTCACACAAGGCTGGGGGTTCGAGTCCCTCACGGAGTTTTGCACTTTTTTCTAAAAGTACCCGGGGGTTTTAGCATCGCCAGAACCATGGTGGTGGTAGAAGGAGGTTTGGCGATGTCGAATATCTAATTGAAATTGAGTTCATGTGTTTGGGAGTTCCCTTTGACCTGTGCTGGCCGGTGGTGAACTCTCGCACGCAGCTTCACAGCTGCGCCCCACTATTTGGGGGGGAACGTTCTAGAACCTTCCACCAGTTTCTCAACCCCAAAGGAATCAAACCGAATGGAATGTCATCGAGTAATTGCACCGGAGACATCGCCCTGCGAGCGCTTACACGCAAGTTCGAGAAGTTACCATAATGATCTTGCAAGATTCTGGAATACGCCAGTTTGACTGCTGCCTCAGCATGTGTTGCCTTCCTGCGGGCTCGGGAATCTTCGATCCTGCCCTTGATGTAGATATAAATCCAGGGCAAGAGATGCCCATCTACCACAATCCTTTTCCTCATCAGAACACACAGAGCAACAAACAAGCACTTGAGGCCAAACACTCTACAATTTCCACATCACTTTTCCCGCCAACACACTGAACTCCTTCACTTTCAAACCAGCAACCCCCATAACCATCAAAATGGCCTTCTTCCCTCGCAACTGCTACAACAACAACGCCAACACCGGCTTCGCCCCTCTCTTCCGTCTTCTCGAAGACTTTGACACCTACTCCCGTCAGGATGAGAGCCAGGCCGGTCGCACTGCCAGGCCCGCCATTGCCTTCCAGCCCAAGTTTGACGTCCGCGAGCTTCCCACACACTTCGAGCTGCACGGAGAACTCGCTGGCCTGAAGAAGGAGAACGTGGACATTGAGTTCACCGACCCTCACACCCTCCGCATCCACGGCCGCGTCGAGCGCACCTACACTTCCTCCACCCCTCCCGCCTCTGAGAGCGGCATCGCCACACCCACTGAGGACACCTTTGAGGAGGTCCACAAGCACCAGGCCACTGTCGAGGACGAGGATGCTGCGACCGAGACATCTTCCACCACCAGCAACGCAGTCGAGAAGCAGGCTCCTCAGGCCGTCGAGAAGAAGCAGCAGCCGGCAGACCGCGCCAAGTTCTGGTGCCGCGAGCGCAGCATTGGCGAGTTCAGCCGCACTTTCAACTTCCCCGGCCACGTCCAGCAGGATGCAGTCACCGCCAGCCTCAACGAGGGTATCCTGACCATCAGGATCCCTAAGGCTCCCAAGCACGAGGCCCGTCGCATCGCGATCAACTAAGTCATCGGTGTCTGTTCGGAGTCAAGCGGAGGATTGGTCTCTCTCTCAGTAACTTGTACTTAAAGCGCTGTTTTCTGCATGGGCATTGACGCCTTCTCATTACCTGTATAATCAAAGGAGTTAATGTAACGATTCTCATCCACACTTGCCACACACCGTGAAATAATAAGCCATCCTTGGAAGGCGGTGATGTCTGAACATGCAACCGAGTGATTTCGAATGACTGCACGGACTGGACTGCGACCAAACTTGTCTGATACAAGCTAGACTGCTGGTTGCCCAATGCACGTGACTTGGCGTTGGATGCCTGATGAAGACCCCGCAATCGACGCGTCTCGCCACCACCCTTTATAAATCAACAACGCTCGTCGCGCGACGTCTCTCTAACATCATCCACGGCGCCAATCAATCGTCAATTCGATTCCAAGTCCTTCCAATTATCGCTTTTCTGTCACGATGACGCAGGTAGAGGAGTTTGACGAGAACCAGAATGCCGACGACAGTGGCATGACCGGCCCCGGGGCCCCCACCCCTCTGACGGCCCTCGAGGTATGATTCTGCCGCGTCAGTCCGAAGTGTCCTAGAGTACTGACAACCTCTCAGGGAGTTGCCGGTCTCACGAAGCGTGATATCCAGCTGGTTATGGACGGCGGGTACATGACGGTGGAGTCTGTTGCATACACACCACGCCGCATCTTGGAGCAGCTCAAGGGCATCTCCGAGCAGAAGGCCCAGAAGATCCTGACAGAGGGTAAGTTGTCCGAAGATCGGAGGAGACTCGGTGTCTGACGCGTGCCCAGCTTCAAAACTTGTCCCCATGGGCTTTACGACAGCTACTGAAATGCACCAACGCCGCAGCGAGCTAATCTCCATCACTACCGGCTCCAAGCAGCTCGACACTCTTCTCGCTGGTGGTGTCGAGACTGGATCGGTCACTGAGCTCTTTGGCGAGTTCCGTACCGGAAAGAGTCAGATTTGCCACACACTGGCCGTGACCTGCCAACTGCCATTCGACATGGGTGGTGGAGAGGGCAAGTGTCTGTACATTGACACTGAGGGCACCTTCCGTCCCGTTCGTCTGCTTGCCGTGGCCAATCGCTTCGGTCTGTCCGGAGAGGAGGTCCTGGATAACGTGGCATACGCTCGCGCATACAACTCTGATCATCAGCTCCAGCTTCTCCAGCAAGCTTCAGCAATGATGTGCGAGACGAGATTTTCTCTCCTTATTGTCGACAGTGCGACAGCACTTTACCGAACAGATTTCTTGGGCCGTGGCGAGCTGTCCTCGAGACAGACGCACCTGGCAAAGTTCATGCGGACTCTCCAGAGACTGGCGGACGAGTTTGGCATCGCCGTCGTCATCACCAACCAAGTCGTCGCCCAAGTCGATGGCGGCCCCAGCGCCATGTTCAACCCCGACCCGAAGAAGCCCATTGGTGGTAACATTATCGCACATGCCAGCACAACGAGAATCAGCCTGAAAAAGGGTCGCGGCGAGACCCGTATCGCCAAAATTTACGACAGCCCCTGTCTGCCCGAGAGCGATTGCCTGTTCGCAATCAACGAGGATGGCATTGGCGACCCGAGCCCCAAGGACCTGGAGAAGGACTAAACTGTTCGACGAACGAACAGAGTGCAATGCGATGACAGGTCAACGATGCATGTAATGGCTTGAGTGCGTAGGCGTTTTGGTGCGACGTGTATTTTATCTGCGTTTGCGGGATTAGAATGGCGGACAGCTCTGTACAATACCAGCATTTGATAAACTCGTCTTGATCGTCCCTCCAAGTCGTCCCTTCATTTGAATTCCTCCTCTGTCTGCTGCCTCTGGGCTTGGTAGTACTGTACGCCAATGCACCAACTGCACTGTGTGGGAGCTCATTGCTGTACTGGGACTAGCGCGTTCGCGTTTTACCCGTTTGCCTTCATCGACAAGGTCACGGTCCGTCGTCAAGTTGTTGACCTGAACTTCCTACAGCAAACCGCGCCTACCACCCTGCTCCCCGCGACGAGCACCAGACCGCTGATGGAGGCAGGATGGACTCCAGAAACACGCAATTTCTCTACAAAGAGACCCGCCTGAATCTCGAGCCCTCCTCTCCTTCGTCCAACATCAACATCAAAGTCCCTTCGCCTACCGGTTCCCGAAGCGCCCAGCGACGACTGCAGAATGGCGACGCGCCTACTGGCGAGGACGAGAATGTCTTCAAGCTGAAGAACCTGTCGACCGCATCCTCCGTATACCACCGGAAATGGCACGATAGCCCCCGCAGCTTCCTCTGGCGATTGCTCGAGGACAACACGGTTCTGAGCATACGTGCGATCGACGTCGCAAAGCAAGACAAGGGCCTCGATGCGCCGCTCATCCTCAACTTCCGCTTCGCGGTCCCGATCCAGCCTGCTTGCATCAGCTTCGCCGATCCCAAGGAGCACGATGCGCTGTCAATGTTCGTCCTCGATGAGACCGACTGCCTCTACTCGTTTACGCTTCGTCCCGACTACTTCAGAAAGCGAGCTGCCATTGAGTCTGGCCCCGGCGATGCCTGCAAGGTCTACCACCCGTCCGTGTTTGGCTTCAAGCACCCCCACAGAATGGTCGCGGCATCGGCAGACAGGGTCGTGGTTGCGCTTCACGATGGCGGACTCGTCCGGCTGGACAGAAACAGGGCCAATGACGGTATGCTTACATTTGGATGTTGTTGATACACGGGATACTGATCAAGATTCTTGCAGCATCCGCCAACCCTTGGAAGGAGACCATCTACAACTCTCAGAGCTGGACACAAGGCCTGCGGAGCCTGATGCCTTTCCAGGGCAAATCCTCCATCATGCACGGGAAGATCAACATGGACCCCAGCGCAGCTACATCGATCGCTATTAGCGACCTGGGCATCGACGGCGCTTCCTTCCTGTTCACCGTCTGTCTCGACCACCGAATGAGAATATGGAACCTCCACACCGGCCAGATCCTCTTCACTGGCGATATCTTGAACTCCGAGAGAAACCCCCAGGAGGTGGGCAAATGGATCGTTGATCCCAGTCACAACAACCTGCTGCAGCTTGTTGGCGACAAGGTTGGCGAACGGACGTGTGCGACCTACTCTCCCCTCGGCGCTGGCGAGTTTAAGTTCTGGACCATCAAGGCGCATGACCCGGAGACCATTTACGTCGAAGACCGCTTCCCCGACATACCTCTGGTCCCAGCGTCGCCCTCTCTCTCAGATGTCTGGACCTTGACAGACTTTGTCCTCTCCTCGCTGGCAGATGGGCGCATCCAGCTCTGGGCTTTGTGGAAGAACAACATGACGTACAGGGTTCAAGAGCTGGATCTCGATCGGGACCACATGGACCAATGCTGGGAAAGCGAATGGGCTTCGGTTTCTATTGACAGCGCCGTTGAGCCGGCACAAACTTCCTCAACAGCAGATTCGACAGACGTCACCGAGAAGTGGCTGGCGCTCATTCTCGCCCCCGGCAGATTCACCAAAACCACACTCGAGACTGCACTGTCGATCTATGAGAGAGGCCTCGGCGCCGAGAAGGATGGCTCAACGAGAGCCCAGAAAGGACTGGCAGAGTCCATTTGCTCCATCATCGCGTCAACTGCATCTCTCGACCGAAAGTCCACGGGCGAGATCGACTACGAACAGTTCAGGGCAAGCAGCGAGATTCAGTGGCGCCGCTTCCACAGGCTACTGCTAGAAATGGACAAGCAACGCGGCGAGGCCGTGTCCCTTGTTCTGGACCCTTCGACGGGACTGACC